AATGCTCGACTTCTACTGGCATGTTGCCCTAACAGGTGTCTAGTGGACGTTTCAACTGAAATTATTTTCTATAGTCTTGAATAGAAGGCTTGGTATTTTTTGACACATCACACTTTTACTTGTACAGTGTACTGTAATCAAACTGCTTTACAGGCTCAAAATTGATTTTTAGGACATGTTTTAACGTTAAATGTCACTTAATTTAAAGGAAATGATCAACATTTCCTGACTCGAGCTTCTCCAATCAGACCATTCTCTTCTTTCATATCTACAGAATAAGATATAGATGTCTAGATTTCCTTGTTAAAGACTTGTTTTTACTGGGCAGTCATAAAGTGCTGCTCGGTCCTATGGGCATTTTTTTAGAAACTGACATTTATAGATGAATAATTAATCATTTAATTTTAAAATTAACCACCAAATTAATATTTGTATTAAGAGTGAACAGTGTTGCTGTCATAAGTATATACTGTATAGCGATTGGATACATTTAGTCTCTTTAAATTTTTATTTAGAATAGTTAGGAATAAAAATTTAAATTGTGCATTTGACTATAACAGTGTTGCTGTCATAAGTATATACTTGTGGTGGTGGAAACGGACAGGACCCAGACATCCACATACTGTATAGCGATTAAAAATTTAGAGACTAAAGGTATTCATTTAGAATAGTTAGGAATAAAAATTGTGCATTTGACTACGCAAGTGAGGGATGAAGGAAATGTTTTTCTGTATATTCTGATTTTTATCTGAGGTGATGGATGGCGTTCATTATTCCGACTTGACGTGTAAGAATAAATATTTGTGAGATGAGGCTACAGGGACAATACGTGGGCTCTGTGTCGGTGTTATTATTACTTCTCCTTATGATGCAGCAGCAGTGTTACCCCTGTTTCCCCTCATCCCTTTGTTGCTCACAACACACACACACACAGTTAATCCAACCTCACTCATCTTGATTGTTTCCATTCCCTGGACCAAATCGTATTGTTTTCACATCCAGCCTGTTTAATGGCCACGTACCACGTTGGACAGTCGCACATTTTTTTTTTTTTTTTTTTTGTCCAGTCACACCTCCTTGATTCTAAACATGACATCACATTTATTAATTTGACACGCACATTGTTATTTTCTTTATCTTTTCCTATAAGGCAAGGTTCAATAATAAAAAATGTCATCACAACTATTAAGAGGTAACAAATTATGACATTTATGGCTCATACAATTTATTTTCCCACACAAAGAACATCATTCACAACAGGTGAAACACATTCCTGACTTAAAAGATGTAAATTAATTTATGTCGGGTTTAAAATGGCTCCCAGTTGTAGCCACTGCTTTTCAGTACAGGTGTTACGGAGTAGATTCTCATCACTCCAGTGTGTATTCTGTTTGATACAAGTGAAAATAAATTTCAGCCCAGTTGTGTGTCTGCCATGATACTATGATATGTTGTTAGTATTTCAGTGATACAAGTGAAAATAAATTTCAGCCCAGTTGTGTGTCTGCCATGATACTGTGATATGTTGTTAGTATTTCAGGGCCTCCTACAGGAACAGAAGGTCTCAAAATACACCTCTCAGTTTGTTTCTGAATGTCTGGCTTAAGTCCTCTGACAGGTCTCTGCCCTTGGTTTATCCCAGTGTCTCGAGGCTAGATGTAAATGGAACAGTGTACCAAGGAGACATACAGATAGACTGACCGAGACCTGTATTTCACCCCTGACCTTTAATCCACTTGGCTAGCAGCAACTCTGATGCATGATTAATCATCTATTTAGGGGCGTGCAGTGTGCACACAGTGTGTAATGTGACCGACATACAGTATATTCTTGTCTTACTCGAGTTTTACTGTTGACAAAAGAGCAAATGACTGCATTGAACCCACAGAGTTTTTTGAGTTGTTTATTGCCACATATGTTACGATGCTCTTGTTTTATCTGTCCTCCAGCTGGTTGGCGGCCAGTTTGACCTGGAGATGAACTTCATCATCCAGGAACCAGAGAGCATTGTGTGCATGGTGGAGCTGCTGGACAAGTGTGAGCCCACCTGTCAGGCTGAGGTCTGGAGCATCTTCACAGCTATCCTCAAGAAGCGCGTCCGTAACCTGCAGGCATGCACCGATGTGGGGCTCATCCAGCAGGTGCTTCAGCGAATCTCCACCACTGACAGCATGATTGCAGGTATTGAGATCCATGCCTTGTGGAAACAGTGGGCTTGATTTGTGTAGCAATAAGAAAAGGCTATCCAGCTTCCACGACAGGCACCCAAACACTGCTAAACTGTGTGTAATTCAATCAGAAGAGATGTTTTGTTGACCTCTCTGTGAAGAGGGACCAGGCAAAAACATGAACGTCATCCTCATGAATCAGTGGAGTATTATAAATAAAATAACTAATTTTTCTGTCCACTCTTCTTTTAAAACAATCTCATGGCTTCATATGCCAGTGTTATAAACACTGTGAGCAAGGATATAATCATTCTATATCTCCTTTGAGTCTCGGTCTAGTCTGTGGCCTGTCTGCAAATTAGCACGAGTTAATCCTACGTTGTTTGACTTTGTGAACTTTTGCCAGCTAGAACAGCACTGGCCTAGAGGGTTTGTGCAGACAAGCAAGGACGATATAGCCCAGCAGTAACTGGGCAGCTGAAAGTGAGGGGTCATGTTAATGTTCACTACATTACAAATTCTTCTGTTGGCTTTATTTTTATAAAATATTTCATAAATGTGTAACATTTTTTATGCCTAACATTGACAGTGATATAATAAGGTTTTACTTTATAAGCTCAACGACATCATTGTATTTATTGCACTTATTTTATAGTAGATTTTCAGATGTCACTTCCTTTCACATGATTTGTCTGAAATGCTAAACATCTGAGCTTTAATACTTGCACAGAGAAGACCTGCCACACACAGCAGCTGTTCAGCCTTATAGTTGGAGGGTTAAATCAACCACAGTGCATGTACGCACACTAGTCATAGAGCTGTCATACTCTGCCGCATCATTAGTCAGTCATAACTAAAAAAGGAGGCTACACAGTAGCTGGGACAGCCAGGTGCCCCCTCTGTTTTTTAGCCTGAGTCCTGTTCACACTGCTTTTCTTTTAAACACGTCTTAGCTGCTAGCTCCTGGTAGTTCTGCCATCATTGTGATGTTTGACCTTTTCTTCTGAAAATAGAAACATAACAAAAACTAGCTGAAAGTAGGCAACACCTCATGAATAATTATATCCCTGAAGTGTTTTTTTTTTGGCAAACTGCAGTGATATGGAACATCCTCTCACTTTTATAATAGATTATTACATTGTCAGTCTTTCTGCTTTACCATTTTTTTAACCCCTGCATGATTTCGTCTTTAACCTTAGGCCTTACCATTTTTTTAACCCCTGCATGATTCCGTCTTTAACCTTAGGCCTGTGCGTGTGCGTGTCTTTGCAGACCTACTTGTCGACATGTTGGGTGTGCTCGCCAGCTACAGCATCACGGTTAAAGAGCTAAAGCTTTTCTTCAGCAAGCTGCAAGGGGAGAAAGGCCAGTGGGTGAGTCATGCCATGCTGATCTGCCTTGGTTGTCTGGGGCCATGCATGAGGAATGTGCTAGCAACACTTCGACTGCTTCCCCACATGCCGATGCCCTTAACCACATAGACAAAACATGTGAAGCCAGACTTGGATTTACAGCACCACCACATTATTGATATTTGGTGGTTACTTTTTACAGTCTGTATTTGCTACAACATTAAAACAGTGTGAGCCAAAACACTTAGTTCTATCTGAGCTGAATGTGACTATGAAGAAACAAGCACCAGTGAACCCAAGATGTATGATACGTGTACAGAAGACAGGGTAATACATCCAGGCAGAACTGGTGGCACAGAAGGGGAGACAGATGAAGTGGGGAAGAGAAGGAGAGTATCCCATTGATCACTGACAGTAATCAAGTTGTCAAGGAAACAGGGCAAGTTGGTTTTATGCTTCTAAATTTCACCTCTCTCTCCCACTTTGAAGCAACTCTTGCCACTGCTTCACTGCTCTTCTCCTTATTCCATTTTTATGAAATATCTGGGGAGCTGGTGAACGGCATGAGTGCAGAACTAGACTACGTTATAGTACTGAACACTTAACTACCGTCTTTGTTGAAATTGTTTAAAAGGATTTTTAAAAATCACTCATTATTATTGAGATTATGAATAAAGTCTTCTGCTGTGTAAGTTTCTCTGAATATAAAAGTTGTAAGAGTCTGAGACCAAGCAGTAGCAAAGCTGTACTTGCTTTTAACTCGTTGTGGTTCCATGCATGAACTGTACATGTCTGGAGTCTATATTTTATGTGGGTGTGTGTACTTGTTATGAAAACATTGATATTAACGTTTGCCTAAAGGGTTCCCTGTGCATTTGTGTTTTCCCCTCAGCCTCGTCATGCAGTAAAGCTTTTGTCAGTGCTGAAGTATATGGCTCACAGAAGTGGCCCCGACTCATTCTTCAGCATTCCAGGAAAAAATGCAGCCGTGAGTAAACTATGTAGTGCCACACATGTATGCACCACAAATGAAAAAGAGTAAACTATGTAGTGCCACACATGTACTGTATGCACCACAAATGAAAATGACTTTTCAGATTGTGGTTGCACCTTACCTGCTCATTGGTTCTTTCATAGCCTCTGCCTTCATGTTCCTCGCCTTTAGAATCACATAATGTTACGCTGCACTCTTGTTTCCTGTACTTGTTTTGCACGTGCATATTATGTTCATTTAAGTGACATAAGCATTATTTTGCTTATGCATGCCACATTTACCTCATTCATTGAAAGATGCACTGTTGTTTTTTCCTCTTCCTGCTGCAGTGTGTTGTGTGGCCGGTTTGTTCATTTCAGCAGAAGTTCCTTGTATTATGATGCATCATAATAATTCTTTGATCAGTCATTGATTGCAAACATTAACTATGTCTTGGGAATTTACCAATTCATAATGTGGAGTAGTAAAAGAGCAATGGACTATTTTAGCATAATCATGAGTGAACTTTTCTTTGTACCAAGTGTGCATTTTATAGAAGGTTGCACTTTTGTGTAAATCTGTTTCGTCAGGCTGGGTGTGTGTGTGTGTGTGCTCACTTGTTTCTTTATGTGACCCTTCACTGCAGTGGTGATGGTGCTTTTATGTGTTTTAAACGTCTGTCTTGTGGGTCTGATTTGACCCAATTTGCTAACTAACCTTTTGAATCCACAAAGTTCCAGGATCCACAACTGTCGTGCTGTTTTACTCTTATTTTTTTCCTCTCAGGCTATAGCTCTGCCTCCCATTGCTAAATGGCCGTACCAGAATGGGTTTACGTTCCACACATGGCTACGCATGGATCCCATCAACAATATCAATGTAGACAAAGACAGGCCCTACTTGTACTGGTAGGTATCATAGGAACGATACAGTACTTTTCCTTGACCAGTGAACAGAAAACTTTGGTCTTTCTTAACATTTAAATGTTTAATATCGAACATGCTGCTGTATATATGGATTGCAAAAATGTCATCTTTGCTGAAGGATGTAGTCCATACATTTAGTGTACATAATGCAAAGAGAAGGGAAGTGCATCAGAGGTTGTGTTTTACAGCTGCACATCCCCACCAAGATATTGGAAGCCCAGAACTATACTACAGAGTTGCAGCCTCCAGCTGCACAGATGCGATCTTTCCTGTCTTCTTATCCTTGGCTTCCTCTCTGAGGAGCAAGTAAATTAAGTTTTCTGATCAGCTTCTTCTCAACCAATAATTAATTTCTGTCAGAAATCTAATTTATACAACAGGGATTTGTTTGGGCTTCTGTGAAAATGATAACTAGACAGCAACTGAGCTGCTTGAGAGGATCTTTAATAAAAGCTCCTCTATCCCTGTGTCCTTTTTAAGAGATTAATTTACTAAATCATGTGCAGGGGCCCCATTTTGGCAAGACACTGAGAGTGATGAGAAAAGTCTGAAGTTGAGAAATGTTTGTTTGCTGTCTTTAATCCTGAAAGACCATTTTAATGTGTTCACGTGATATATTGGACACTGTAACCCATGTTTTCCCTTCAGTGTAGTCTGCATGGAAGTGAGCAGCCTCAGGCAGAAACTAAAGATGTGTGTACGTTTTCGTCATTCCTTTTCAGCTTCCGAACCAGCAAAGGCCTAGGTTACTCTGCACACTTTGTGGGTGGCTGTTTGATAGTGACCTCCTTAAAATCCAAGGGGAAAGGATTCCAGCACTGTGTAAAGTACGACTTCAAACCACAGAAGGTACGAAAGGAGCAAAGTAGAATACGGGTTGTGCTTTGGTAACCCAGTCAAAACACTGGTTCATGCATGTAAGAAGACAAATCCTGTAAATGGATCACAGAAACCATATGCCAGTACACACGTACTCAATCACTTGTTCACACAATAATTCTACCTCTTGCTGTAAGAAGCTGTCACATCTTACCTGACGCTGGGGAGAAGCAAAACTAGGAGGAGGAGGAATGAGGGCGATGGGAGTGAGGGATTATTCAATACTCTGTCCCTTCCAGGCATAGTACACACTAAAGATAATGACAGGCAGAGAGCCTCTGCTTTTGGACGACTTGAAACTTCCTCCTTCTTTCTCTGGGCATGAAAGCAACACATTACCTCAACAAACCATGAGGTCTCGGAACTCATTTTAGTAAATTTTGCTTTATTTTTAAAGCATGTTCTTTCATGTCTTGAGGTAACCATAATAACCTACTTCACTGTAGTAACAGTTATCTGTTTCACTGGTTGTAAGGCTGAGGAGAGAAATCGAAGTAGATGGGATTGGAGCTCAGGTTGAGTCCTGAAACATGATGGGATCAGGGTAACTGTGCAGCATATAAACTTCTCACTGTGCAGACTTACTGATATATGGTTGTCTGTTACATGTTCATGTTGTAGTGGTACATGGTGACTCTAGTTCACATCTACAACCGATGGAAAAACTGTGAAATCAGCTGCTTTGTGAACGGGGAGCTGGCTTCCTTTGGAGACATCGCCTGGTTTGTCAACACCAGTGATGTGAGTAGCAACAGTTTGAAAATGTTCTTCAGCAATTGTACTTGTACTAAAACAGTAATAGGTGTCAGCAGGTAATATATTAATTTAACTGACATGTAACATGTTAATTAGTGAGCTTCAGAGCTGCTGTTAGCTTGGGTTAGGTGTTATTTTCAGGCAGAACCAAGATAGCTGCTTCTAGGCTTTATGCTAAGATACGGTCAGTAGGGCACTTTAACACAAGTGCATGCTGACCAAAGTGCTTCACAGTGCAAATAAAAATAAAAACCAAAGTAGAGTTGGAAGGATAAACAAATCAATACAATAAGTAAAACTTAAGTATAACAAAGTACCACCCAACCATTATCTATACTGCTTATTACTGAATGGGGTCGCAGGGGGGCTGGAGCCAGTCCCAGCTGCCATTGTACAAGAGGCAGGGTATGCCCTGGACAGGTCGACCAGTCTCACAAGGGAGATCATGCAAACTCTGCACAGAAAGGCCCCGGGTTCTTTTTTACTGCGGGCGTGTGCACCAAAAGTGAAAACCAGACCTCCTTTTTGCACCCCTCTCACTCACAGGTATATGTAATCTCAGCCTTTGCTATCAGGGATCCTGTGGGTGAACCCTTTCTTGCCATGTTTTGGCATGGAAAACGACTGTATATTCTCACATGCTGTACCTCTGACACATCAGCATATGAACACTGTCACAGTCCTTGGGATTGCTTTTTGTCATGCTGAGATATGAGATTCTTAAATCAAAATGTGTTAGGAATCAAAATGCCTCCACAGTGCAGTATAATCCCCTAGATGTCTCAGTGATTCAGAAAACAAATTAGCCACTCGATTGAGACGTGGCCTCATCATTCTCAACACTTCTGCCTCACTTACCATGATGGGAGGAAGAGGGAACACCATCATATTGGCTACACTAGTTTGAGGCTGTGTGTTGCCATTTATAGTTGGTGTTAATGTGGATGTGCCTTTTATTTCTATTTTTGGTCTTGTTTGTTCCTCCTTCCTGTCCTACTTCCTTATTTCCCTTTTTCCTTCTGCTCTCCCTCCCTTTTGTCTGTCCATCTTTGTCTATATTTGTTTTTTTCCCTTTCCTTCAACTTGTCCTGCATCCTCCCCTCTGCAGACATTTGACAAGTGTTTCCTGGGATCGTCGGAGACTGCAGACGCCAACCGTGTGTTCTGTGGACAGATGGGGGCAGTTTACCTGTTTGGAGAGGCCCTCAGTGCTGCTCAGATCCTGGCGATCTATCAGCTGGGGCCAGGATACCAGGTTGGAAGGCACAAAACCTGAGATGTCTATGCAATATTAACACATACTGGAGACCTAACAAAGGTCACAGGCAAATCATATCTATGATGATTGAACTTACTTTTCTAATTGTTTTTATGTATTATCTCAATATTTTGGAGTGTAGTTGCTGATGAGAAATGTTAATCAACTTGTATGCTCTGTTCCATTCCATTTTTTTTTCCCTTAATGCTCAGGGCACATTCAAGTACAAGGCTGAGAGTGACCTGCTGTTTGCAGAGCATCATAAGACCTTGCTATATGATGGCAAGTTGTCCTCTAGTATTGCCTTCACTTATAACCCTCGTGCCACTGATGCCCAGCTCTGCCTCGAGTCCTCCCCCAAGGACAACGCTTCCATTTTTGTCCATTCACCCCATGCACTCATGCTGCAGGTAATGATGCCTTTAATACAACATTTGGCTTGTATAGCAGGCGATAGCCATTCCTCTTGGAGTTTATATTGCTAGGATTGCCATTATTTAACTTTAGCCTGAAGCCACAATGCTGCACCGACATTAGTCATGTCAGTGCAGATTTATTCACCACCTGTACTGTACGCCTACGCCTTCCCTGCTACTGTGCCATATGTAGTGGTCTTTACTCTGAGTTCCTCCACAGTGATAAAAGTGGCCCTATTGGCACCTTTTTATTCTAATAGCCTCATTAGGGCAGAGGTGCAAATGTGTTGAGCTAGCCAGACCCCAGCAGCTGCTGGAAATGTCATCCTGGTGCTCTGATAGTGGATTTAGCCTTCTGAGTTTTGGTTTGGAACTACATGTAGCTGTGCATTTTTCCTGTTAGACATAGGAAAGTTTTCCATATGCTGCTTACAGTCTCACACACACACCCACACAACGCAAACGTATTCACACAGCACTTTCTTCACTCACTTGACGTTTTCTTTTCTCTAGCACTAATTGAGTTTTCTCTCTTGCCCTCCTGTTTCAGAAAATGCTATGTTTCCTTTGTGAGACAGATTGCACCCTCCACTACACGAACACATGCGTTCTGAAATATGAATGAACATGTGACCTATATTTTTAGCTTTGCTGTGCCATTCTCAAAAATTCCATTCAGGCAAGCCACTTTTGGTACTGCAGCACACAACACAGACACGAGCTCATGCACCAGATTCCTGCAAGGTATACAAAATTTTGAAATCGCCAATCAACAAAACCAAACTAAAGAAACACCAAAGCTTAACACTTTGGTTTGAGATTTCCTGCTGTATTTACCCTCTCACACATGAGCATGTCTGAAAACTGCTACGAAAATATGTCGCCAATGGCGAAACAGTGGTTTGAGATTAGATAACATATTAATGGTCATACATTCAAAGGGTCAGTTACAGTTCAGGCTTAATAAAAAGCAGATTGTTGTGGTATGATAGTCTCAACATTTTGTTTGCTTCTCATTGTGCATTTGTGCAACTGCTTTCCGTTTATGTCAAAGCATAGAGCTTGTTAGAGAAAATACCAGTGTGACCCACATGCAAGTGTCGGCCATGTACTATATGTTAAGTGTATCCACTTGTGTTTGTTTCTGTAGGATGTGAAGGCTGTGGTGACTCACTCAGTCCAGAGTGGCATACACTCTATCGGAGGCGTGCAGGTCCTCTTCCCTCTGTTTGCACAGCTGGATTATTGCCAGCCTTCCAGCCACGAGCTGGACACCTCTGTGTGGTAAACGCGCGCACACACACACACACACACACACGTTTTCATCCCTCATGGGGATTTTTTTATTGACTTGCATTCATTTCCTGGAGACTTACCCTAACCAAAAGAACTACTCGCCTAACCTTTATCCTGACTGTAAATCACCTTGTCACCTTTAAATTCAGTGATTTACAGCATCTGGTCCCCACAAAGAAGGCAGAGTCCTCACAGTTTGAGCATGTAAACAGGTTTTGACTAACCACATGCACACAGGCGTGTTTTTCTATACAGTATTTGCGAGGGCACTCACTGACATAATGCATTCATTGTTCAAATAGAGGCCTGCAGTAAGTCTTTAAAGCCAATTCTATAGTGCTGAGCTTGTACACTGTGAGGCCATCTTACTTATAAATTGCAGTGTTGTTGTAGCTGCTGCCCTCGAGGTGTTGCTAACTAGACTCTGTTCTTCCAGCACAATGGGGACACAACAGTCCTCATTCAGTCGTATTCCATATATAGTATGCCCTTCACAGTCGGGGGTTTGTCAGCAGTTTACTGTGCATAGATTTTTGTCACTGTCTAACTCACTGTCTCTCTCCCTCTCTGTGTCAATGTTGTCTGTCTGTGTTTGTCTTAGTTGCACTTTGCTGTCCTTTGTGATGGAGCTCTTGAAGAACTCGGTGGCTATGCAAGAGCAGATCCTGGCCTGCAAAGGCTTTCTTGTCATTGGCTACTCTTTGGAGAAGGTGAGAAACACACAGTTTGGCTCAGCTGGCAAAGGAATACACGAGAGTCATCTTCCCGTACCAGTAGCTGCACTCATAATGAGTCCAGCACAGTAATAAGGCTGCACTTGATTCCTTCGTTGCTACAAACACACTGACAAAGGCACACACAAACATGTAATATAAGACAGAATTGTTTTCCCTCAGCTGAATTTGGAGGCCACAGCTGGCTTGTATGCTTACTAAGGAGAAGAGGAGTTCCTCCTCATCTTTGTCTGCACGTGCCCTTCCCTCCTGTTTTGTACCCCATTTATGTTTTACTTTTTTGTGTCTCTTGCCTCCTGTTACTGACATATCATCCTGTCTTTTTTTTTTTCCACCTCCGGTTGTGGCGCTTTCTGCCTGCCTGTCTTGCCCTAGTCTTCCAAGGTGCATGTGACGCGGCCTGTCCTGGACATTGTTCTGGCCTTTTCCAGATACCTTAGCAACTTGCAGAATGGCATCTTGCTGCTCAAGCAGCTGTGTGACCACATTCTGTTCAACCCTTCCATCTGGATTCATGCCCCTGCCAAGGTAAGAGGAATGCACACTTACACAGCGGCCTGTTATCTTATATTTGGTTACACGTGTAAAGATGGGGATAAGAAGCGTATGTAGACAGAAGACAAACAGCTCAGTCAGTGCATCTAGACTTGAACACTCATAAGGACATGCAGATTCGTAATCAGGTTCTCTTGCTGTGTATGTTCCTGCTCTACAGTTTATTTCAGATTTCTACTCAGAGTTCAAGGTTATCCCTGTGAATCAGTGACTGTTTAAATGAGAATGACTTACCTACAACCCTTAGGGGCTGAGCAGGTTCCACTTTCTTCTCAGAGGAGGAAAAAGAGCTGCGACACACTCAAACTGGATTATTCCACCCAAACTATCATGTGTTTGTGCTTTTATACTGTATGTGCTTTATCTTGTGCAGGTGCAACTGGCACTCTACACTTACCTGGCGACAGAGTTCATCAGCACAGTGACCATATACAACGCTGTCCGCAGGGTGGGCACCGTGCTTCAAGTCATGCATACACTGAAATATTTTTACTGGGTCATCAACCCCCAGGACCGCAGTGGAGTCCTGCCCAAAGGACTAGGTGAGAGTGCACACCCAAGTATATTGTGTGTATACAATAAAGGGAGTCTTCTGATTTACAGGCATCCTACCTCTTGTCCTGCCCTTTTTTTTCCCAAATATATACACGGATCTCTTCAGATTTCACATCTACATATGGGCATATACAGAGAAATATGGATTCACACATACAAACACGCTCTTTAATAAAACTAACATGTTTACACTGTGTTCTTCCAGTGATAAATTAAGTGTAGAAAGAAATGGATGAATCATCCACTGACATTTATTAGCTTTAAGCAGCTGTTGTTTGCTGTTTGATTATTCAGATGGTCCAAGGCCAAACCAGAAGGAGATCCTTTCTTTGCGAGCCTTTCTCCTGTTGTTTGTCAAACAGCTCATAATGAAGGTAAGTTCATGGCCGATGATGCCAGTAGCCAGACGTGCCCCACTCCATTCTCACAGAAAGATAATTCATTCACTTTAGAAAGTTGCACATATGTGTACTAGTGGTTCCATTAGTGACATACACTGATCAGTAACAGCAGTAAAACCACTGGCAGTTGAAATGAAAAACATTGATTATCTTGTTACAATGGCTCCTGTCAAGTGGTGGGTTTTATGACAACCGGTGAGAACAGCGACATGGTCACGGGCACCCAAGGCTCATTGATGTGCATGGGGAGCGAACACTAGCCCATCTGGTCCGATCCCAGAGCTGGTGTAACACAAATTGCTGAAAAGTCTGATGCTGGTTATGATAGACAGGTGTCAGAACATCTTACTGGGTATGGGGCTGCGTGGCCACAGACTAGTCAGAGTGCCCATGCTGATGCCTGTCCACTGCTGAAGGCACCTACAATGTGAGCATCAGAACTGGACCACAGAGCAGTGGAAGAAGGTGGCCTGGTTTGATGAATTACATTTTCTTTTATATTGTGTTGACAGCTGGGTCTGTATGTGTTGTTTACCTGGAGATGAGATGCACCAGGATGCACTATGGGAAGAAGACAGTTTGGTGAAGGCAGTGTGATGCCCTGGGCAATGTTCTGCTGGGAAGCCTTGGGTCCTGCCATTCATGTGGATGTTACTTTGACATGTAGTGTACCAACTACCTAAACACTGTTGAGGACCAGGTCTGAGCCCTTCATGGCAGGAGTATTCCATAATGGCACTGGCTTCTTTCAGCAGAATATTGCACCCTGCCACACTGCATAAATGCTTCAGGAATGATGTTGACTTGGCTTCCAAGTTCCCCAGATCTCAGTCCGATTGAGTATCTGTGGAATGTGCTGGAAAAACAAGTCTGATCTATGGGGCCCCCACCTCACAGCTTACAGGGTTAAAGAATCTGCTGCTGACGTCTTGGTGTCACATATCAGAGGTATTGCAGAGACCCTACCTTGATGGGTCACAGCTGCTCTGATGGCATGAAGGGGACATGCACAATTTTAGGCTGGTGGTTTTAATGTAGTGGCTGATCAGTGAATGTCTAATATGTAATGTTGCCGGTTCTCTTTGTTGTTGTTGTTGGCACAAACATAATACATTAAGACTTGAGACTAGACCACATCTATCATTTTCTAAATAACATGCTATGTAATTCATAATGTACAGTATACGTGGATACAAAATTGTTTTATCACAAAGTTTTTCAAGCAGCCTAATGCAAAACTGTCTGGGTAGCTTAGATTTTGCTGAAGCAAACACTCTTATTGAATGTATCCAAATGTTAATATATCTTAGTTTGGCACCTCCACTCTCAAAGCAAGTGTGATAGCTTTGTGCTGGGATATGTCTACATGTACTATCTTGGGTAGGGGTATGTAGAGAGGAAAATAGTGTGCGCCCAATGAAATATCTATGAGATGATCTGTGCAATTATTTTCTAGGATCACGGAGTCAAAGAAGATGAGCTACAGAGCATCCTCAACTACCTTCTTACCATGCATGAGGTAGGCATTCATACAGTTCTTTCTCGCCACCAGATGGCAACATGACACTGCTGTACTGTGATTAGTCTTTTCCACCATCTGATGTGCAGAGAAAGAGCAAACAGTTCCTGCTGCTAAAAGCAGCATTACAGTTCCTTTTTATTTTTCCAAGTCTGCCAGTTAGAGGTTCTGACAGAAGTGGTAGTGTTTACACTGGAGTGATGCATAACAAATGAATCAGTCAGTAACACAGTGAACCTTGTAAGAATAAAGTGTGATTACAACATTGCCTGGAAAAGCAGCTGATGTAGCAGCCCTTCGATTTTTTTACAGCACATACTGTGATTCCTTAGTTTAGAGGCTTATGATGTCTGTTCTTTTCTTTTTGACTGATATAGTTTTTTACTACCCTCATTGCTACTGCCATCAATGAGTAACTGCACCTTTCTCTTATAGTGACATGTACAGCTGACTATGAATTCCTCATAATTTAAGATATCCCCTTGAAAGCCAACTCATTTCAGCCTCACCAGCTGCAGTAGTTGTCCCATTGCTTTCCTTGAGTACCACAGTAGCCTCTGCTCCCTTCCTCTGTGTCCCATAGGATGAAAACCTTATGGATGTGCTGCAGTTGCTGGTGGCTCTGATGTCTGAACATCCTGGGCCTATGGTCCAGGCCTTTGACCAACGCAATGGGATTCGGTAATGATCGCTGTTTGTGTTAAATGTATACATGCTCAAAGTGTTGTTGGTATATTATTTTTCTAAAAGTAAAAATGCTCAAAATTTGAGCAGATTTTTATTTTGTTTTTAATTTTAAATTGTGTCCCTTGTAAGACTGTAGATGCTTTATGTGCTCATGGGTGTTTTTTTTTTTTTAAATTTTTTTTTTGTTTCATTAAAAAATTGATCCAATTCTCTTTTGGAAATAGAAATATTTTTGTTTGACATAAACAGGGTGCACATAGTGCTGATAAATCTCTAATGGGATTCAACCAGTTTGTTAAAGGTTATTTGTATAGTTAACATCCTTTTTTTTTTTAAATTGTGATATAATTCAAACTAATTTTTCTTGTTTTACAGTGTGATTTACAAGCTTTTGGCTTCAAAAAGTGAAGGCATCAGAGTGCAGACACTCAAAGTAATGGGCTACCTTTTGAAACACTTGCCTCCAAAGTAAGTACAATGTCAAATCTGTTTTCCCAGACTATACAAGTTATAGATTTGCAAATCTTGGTGTATTTGCATGTGTAAATAAAAACACTATTGCTTTATTTTATGTCTGTAAATTCCATTTTAATTTTAAATAATTTCCTAACAAGTTTCCTGGAAGGAGCCATATAATTTGGTACAATTAGAGAGTGATCAGTTGGGACACTTCCAGTTATTACTAAATGCTAAGCTTGCACAAACTTAAGGCTTTCTTCAGATTTCAGAAGGTGAACTACACATGCACAATGGAAAATTTGTTTACAACCATCCAATTAATACCATTTCAAATAATTAACAAATAAACAGTATTAACTGGGTTTTACATTAAGCATTATTTTTTCATTGAAAGAAAACCAGTAATAAACAACACAACTCAGTTGGCTAATTAAGCAAAAAATCAGTCGTAGAACTTTGTCTCTATTTTTTGTAATTGATGCCAAACTACATGGTTCTTTACAAGAACCTTTCAAAAAGTTATTAGGAAGTAGTGGACCTGTAAAATAAAGCATAATCATAAAAACATACATTTTTAAAGAAATACCCAAATCTTTAAAAATGTAAAATTCATTGATTTGATTCTAGAATTTTCATTCTTAAAATCTCACGTGGTTGCTTAAGCGATTTTTTTTGCAGCTTTCTTTAAAAAAAAAAAAACTCAGGTAATGTATTTTTTTTTTCCTTTTGGAAAGCTATCGTGAAATATTGCAGCATAGAGAAGAATCTAATTGTATGGCTAAATGTCAACATTTTGGTTCATGATAATGTTTGTTTTCTACTTGGCTGCTGGCCTTAATGTGAAAATACTGTAAAATAAAAAAAAAAGTCACATTTAGCCAAACCTTTACATTCATTTTAAACATGGTTTTAATATAAATGTGTGTTTTGAGCCATTTTGGGTAGTGATGTTAAAGGCCATACTAGAAGCAGTGGTCTATTTAATTTTTCTAATGGCCACCAATAATAACGTGTGAAGCTTATGCTGAAATAGGAGGGCCAGAAGCAACTCTAGGACTGACAGCCTTTAAGTCTTGTGATCTAGATGCGAGGTCTGCAGTCGTCATATGCGATATATAAACTCATTTACAATGCTACAATAGGAAATGATGCATGATCCCAATTGAAAATGACAGACTTTTTAATGAAAAAGTCTTCGTACTTCATCACCAGGGATAGTCTTTTTCTTTTTTTATTTCCTTCATATCAAGATGTCAGCTGGAACTCAGCTGATTTGTATTACAGATTTCAACTGATGCTATCTCTAGATTTTGTCCTTGTTATTTCTAAATAATTTGATATTCTGGGACATTTCATGCTAAATGCCTTGCTTTTAAAATGAAAATAGAAGTTGAATCGAAATGAAGAAATGCTACAGTGCTTTCTGATATCACAAGGGTCTGCCAAATACTGGTGTTTACTGACTGACCTTTGACCTCTTATTTCCCGATCAGGAGGAAATCTGAGGTCATGATGAGTCACGGCCTTTTCTCGCTGCTCACTGAACGGCTGATGCTCCACTCCAACCAGTTCACGATGACGACCTACAACGTACTCTTTGAGGTCAGTCCAAGGTCACAACAGTAATGAAATACAGTAATAACCTATGTGTTCAACTGCATGTCTGTTTATTTTTTATATACAGTTACAGTCTAAAATTGTGCCTTGTTAGCTAAGATTAGTCAAGCTTTCCTACTTAATTTGAAAATGTAATGAATTACATGGAACAAATTTTATGGTTGACCACCTGCAGTGGTTTGATTTGACAGCTATTCAACCATATACTACATGATGATGAAGCATGTTGTATACATAGCATTATGTATCTATAGTGTGGTTCATTTCTTTGTTATTGTTAAACCCTATGTAGATACTTAAGACTAAAATCCTTTCTGTGACCCCCACCCGTAGGTCCTTACTGAGCAGATCTGCACTCAAGTGATCCATAAACAGCATCCAGACCCCGACTCCACTGTGAAGATTCTCAACCCACGTAAGTGCCTCCTCTGTGCCACATTACTCTCCTAAATCATCCCCTGCAGCGTGCCCTCCACATACCTATTGCTCCATACTGTAGTGGAGGATATTCCCCATGGAACAGTGAGATTGCTATATACAGTCAAACAAATGAATGACATAAATTTTGCAGCCGGAGCGTATTTCCATGCAGTGAACCTCAGATGCACACCTAGTATGTGGATGTTGCAAATGCTTTGTGTGACAAATGTACTCACCTCTACCAGTTTTGTTGGATTAATGAAACCTTGTTCTGAAGATGTTATGTTAGGTTGCAGTATTTTGTTTGTTTTGTTTGTATATTTTATATTTTATCATCAGACTTGATGTATCATGCTAATGTCATATATTGTGTATTTTATAGTTAGGATATGATTTAATAATTGGCAATTATTTTTGTTATAAAATATGACTTAAATCACATTTATGACTTAATTTAAAAGGGAGTAGTGCAGTAAAATGCACACACACTGTACATATGAACGTCTATGTACTGTCTTACTACATACACAAATATACACGTACAATATGAATAGTTTTATTTATTGTTTTTACCGGTGCCCCATTACTAGCAGAAAGTGCATGCTTGTTTTTATATGCTCCATAACAAGCTCAGATAGTGGCTCCAGGCTTTGATCAGTGCCCCTGTGTTATATTTACTTACCTCCAATTTCATGTCAGCTCACAAAACCTTTTCATATGGTGAAATCCTAAGGATTCATTTCAGCTACACTGGTGCTTCCACGCATACACATGCACCTTTGTGGACACACTTGCAAAACAGCTTTAATCAGTTTGAAATCCAAGCACTTGGTATAATCACAACCAAGGTTTGCTTCCAACCAGCCTTAATCTGACGTAAGTCTTTATTGTGTTAAAAACTCTCCTATCCAACCATCCCAGACAGGCGGTGTATATCATAGAAACCTTGTTGAGGTTTGTACATGTGAGCACATTCCATGGTACATAGTGGTCTGTTTCTTCTTTGCAGTGCATTTCTTGATTTAATCTGTGACAAACTCCCAAAATGGCCCCCTGATTGCAGTCTTTAGTAACGTCGGAGCCAATCAAACAAACCGAGGAAGTACCGTTTCCCTCAAATTAACTCAAGGGAAAGGAACCAAGAGCAAATGGAAAAAAAGAAGGAAATACGCCATCCCTCCATCCTCATTCCCGGTACATGCTGGGGTAATTTTCTGGCGGTAAAGGTTCAGTGACTCATAATTTGAGTGACTAAGGCGTAGAAACAACACAACCGTCTGTCAGGGCAAAGGGGGCATCGGTTAGCGCCACGGTCTGAAGAGACAAGTGAAATCCAAGCCTTGCCGTCTCTCTACTCAAAGCAAATGGACACTGACATTGTCTAGATAATTCATCTAAACAGTCAGTCTCTCTGGTTTAACCAAAGCCAAGCCTTCCCTAAGGCCTGCGACTGCGGCCCGCTCATTCGAAACAATACCAAAACCATTACAGTATGATAAAGATCAACAGTCTGGGCTATTTAATTCTCCTCTGTTCTGTTTGTCTTACCATAGGCGCAGATTGTCAGGTATGTTCAGCTGGGAGTTGAAATAGTTTATGGCACAATGATTTGCAAATGTTGAGACCAATGTATGATTTAGTTTCTGATTTGTGAAGTTTCTTCTTCTGTGCCCACGAAGCTGACTTTTGATTTCAAAGCAGAATGTTGGGTGTTTGTAAATCCAAACTTCTTTCAATTATAATTCTTGAAAAACGACTTGTTAAAATGTATTATTGTACAGAATCGATAACAGACATACAGTATGTTCTAACAGGTAAAGAAGTACTGTGATGTTTCCAGCCACTGCTGTGTATTTTTACTTTATTTTATTTGTACATTTTTATCTCAGTCCTTAATCAGAATAGGTTTGTTTCTTTTAATATTTCCAGAGATTCTGAAGGTGATAGCTGCCCTGCTCAAGAACTCGCCCCCATCCACTGAGAGCATGGAGGTGCGCAGGGTCTTTCTGTCAGATATGATCAAACTATTCAATAACAGCAGAGAGAACCGCCGGTAAGAACTCAACCAATTCACGAGACGGAGAGCTATATCACCCAGAATTTGCAGTGCGACTGGGGATTCGCATTCACGACCCTTTCATTAGCCATGTACTTTGTTTTTCAGGAGCCTGCTGCAGTGCTCTGTGTGGCAGGAGTGGATGCTCTCCCTGTGCTTTATCAACCCTCGAAACAATGAGGAGCAGAAAATCACAGAGATGGTGTATGCCATCTTCCGCATCCTACTCTACCACGCAATCAAATACGAGTGGGGCGGCTGGCGTGTCTGGGTGGACACCCTGTCCATCACCCACTCCAAGGTCAGAGCAGTCATTATATGCATGCATGGCCCCCCTCCCACACCCACAGACACACATAAGCACGTGATCAGGTATTAGATGCAGGATTGTTTATCTTTCTTTGTGAGGCTTTCTGTTTTTGTTTTGTTTTTTTGTTCATTTTGTTTCTCTTTGCCTTACACATTCTGTCTCTCTGTACTAAACACCAGAATATACATACACTTCAGCACACACTTGCCTGTAAAGTAACCCTCCTCCTCACTTTGATTCCAGCCAAACAGACGGCAGTATTCAGTGGAAAAGGCCATTAGCTCCATCACCATATGTTTAGTTTGAATCTGACATAATTGAGTTCATTAAATAAGAAATTAGAGCACATTATTGTCTGAACCCTGCCTCTTCGTGCCCATCAGATTAAACTATGGAAGCTATACGGTGATTATAATTGAAAAGCTAGTGTCTTTATAAACCAATGGGAATGAACCCACCACCCCTTCAATTCTTTATTTATGTATTGAGTCTTTCTTTCACGTTGCACAGATCAATTCTTTATTTATGTATTGAGTCTTTTTCTTTCATGTTGCACAGATAAAAAACAAACCTCTGGCACTTTTTATTTCCAAAAGGTGAATTCAAAATACTGCTTTAGAAATTCAGTGTTGATATCATATTACGCTACTCTGTTCCAAAGCAGTGAAGTAATTGAGGTTGGTGTCAGATTGTGGTCTGGGGGGTTTTTAAGCCTGGCAGATTGAAGGTTGAGTTAAAGAAGTGCTTGTGATATGAGAAGCTTCAGTCCAGTGTGCAGTGCTGTGAGTGTTTGTGGCCAGTAGGGGGCACAGACAGACTGGCTGGAGGAAGATGAGTGTGAAAGCAGCTGTTAGCAGGGTGGTGTGTGTTGTATGCAGGATGCACTGAGCTTCCAATGTCCCTCCACATCTTTGAACACTGTAAATTTGGCCAGCAAAAATAAAATTTACATATAAAAGCTCAAAGTTTTATATTGGCAGAATTTGATGGAAGACTGTCACAAATATGAGGGGAAAATATCAGTCGGTGTATTCTGGTAGATTGACTGCATGTTTGCATTGCATTGTACTGTCATTGTGTTACTGTTGAACTATTTAAAATACATTTATTATCCCAGTTTAAAATGTATTTGATCAGGAATAAAGCAAGCATTGCATTGTGTATTTCTGTTAAACAGTGACAAATTGCTAGTGCTAACATATTAAAATGCCACCTACTTATACTGTACATAATCATCATTAATTTAGCTTTTATTTTTGCTAATTTATTTCTGGTTTCATCTGCTCATAAAGCTGCAGTATGTTGGGGTCTCACTTTGCAACCTAGCAAAGTGTCAAGTTTGGTGTTGTGCAGAAAGTTTCTTCTTGTTTGTACATGACAGGCTGTAATTGCCTCCTTTTTTAATATATATATATAATTGCACAAGATTAATGTTGTTTCTTCTTGGCCCTAGTAACAATACCCAGCACCCAAGAACAGAATTTCACACATGTATGCTGTGTGTGAATAAACCCATGATCTTGTACGATGTGAAATGCACACAAACAGAAATGCTCCAAAAGTGCAAGGACCCCGTCTGTGAATCAGATAGATGCAGCGGGTGCTAGCCTCCAAGATACATGCATCTGCTATAAAAAAAGCTAAAGAAACTCAATTGCAATTTTATTGTCCCGTTTGATAGATTTCCTGCCACCTTTGTAGCACCAAAGCTGTTTGTCACTGTGGCTCTCTCCTCCCACTGCAGCAGGGTTGCGTATGTGCCTGAGTTACCAGGCACATTTTCTCTTTGCCCTCCTTTTCTCTTGGGCTCTAAGAACCCGTTCTCTCCTTTCCCATTGAATATTCATCAGAACCATGCAAGAACAATCGGAGAAACAAGGCCTCATAAATACAACCAGCCTACTGGGAGCCGCTTGATAAGTACATATGTGTATTTACAAATGCATATTTGCACACTTCTCCTTTACGTAGACTTTACGACGTACAGTAGTTGACCTTGTGTCCACCATGGTAAAATTGTCCGTTCAGCATGTATATAGATAATATGCCTCATGCTGATTGCATGTATCCTCATTAGCACAGTACAGATTTTTCTCCATCAATCTTTTTATTATAGTTTTGATTAATACATTTTTTTGTTCTTGTATCTCATACTTTATAAGATATTTATCCATTTCCCCCTGCATTTAAAGCACATGCATTAATATATAGCTGAAAAGAAAGAAGTGCAAGAGTTGAGCTTTATTTTTCTGTCCAGGGTTCAGGGCCCTTTTCTCCCTTTTATCTTTGCCTAACATAAAACTCCTTATTGGTCGTCACTGGCCAGAAAGTCATGATAGAGCAGGATGAGCAACTGTATGTGTCAGGCTTGAATCAGTAATTTGTTACTGGCTCATTCTCAGCTCATTTTGCTCTGTTGCTTCAATGTGAGCTCCAACTGTTCTTGTTGACATGAATTGAGGTAGCTCACTGATCAACCTGTGGCTTTTTTTTTAATTAAATTTTATTTTATGTTGTCTTCTAATGGCAAGACTAGCAAGGTGCTAACAACCTGGTTAAAATTTTTGAGATTTAAGAAAATCTTTGTTGTGTGTGTGTGTGTGTGTGTGTGTGTGTGTGTGTAGCTAGCATCAGTCTTTAGCAAAGAAGTGTATCTGCACGTGTCTGTCTGATGAGACAGATGTTCCTGCAGGTGGGCATGCTGACACAACAGCCCTCCTACTCTCAGCCCGAACACTCACCCAAGGTGCCCCTCGTCCATCTCTGCACACAAATGAGTTTGAGAACAAGGAGGTTTCCAAAAGGGAAATTGGGGTGTGAAGGTCCCTCCGTCCTTCAGACTCCCACTGTTGGCTAACTTCATTATACCTGTCACACTACCACAAAGATAAATATGAGCAGAAAGGAGCCACCGTATCTTTGACAAAATATAGCTTACATTAAAATATTTTAAAGAGCTGGTAATCATGCAGTTACATATGTGGAACAATGGAGTTTAATTGTATGTAATCAGCCTTTGTTTCATGATGAAATGTTCAGTAGTTTGGCCACACAGCCTTTTTGGGTTATTGAGACATTACACAGAAGACTCAAGCTGTTGTTCTTGGCATAGACTTTCAGATAGATGCACTACCAAGTGGACAAAGGAAGGAGTGAAAACACTGACAAGCTAAAGCTCGATAAAAGCTATGCATCAAGTGTTGTCTGTGCTGTCCAGCAGCAAACCAGTCACCAGTACTAGTATCCATGTATTAGATTTTTTTTATCTTGCTATTCTCAAATAAATATTAATACTATTATATTCAGTGAACTATATAATAATCATGTCATGGAAATCTCGTGAATTTGCAAAAAAAAAAAAAACTGTTACTGTGTAAAGAATCTTTGTGCAAGCTTCTAGTCGATGCGATAGAAATGATGACGTCTATTACTGGGTCAGATGGGGAGGCACAACCTGAAAAAGTTTTCATAGGAAGTGAGAAAGGAAGATATTGTGAACAACAGCGAAACTGCACGGCCAGCACAGCAGCAGACTGCATTGATTTTGGAGGCGGGATTGCATTTAGCAAATCGGATTAGAGCCACACTGCTCTTCCCGTTTCCCTTTTGTTTTGTGGTTGCTCTCTATCTGTGGATCTAAATGGGGACTCCCAGCCTCCTACTGTGAGGATCTCCTGAGAGCTTTGCCACCCTAGCCCTCTTCTAACAGGCTGTGGTGTGTGTGTGTGGCCTCCGCTTATTCTGGATCAGTTGTACAGCACAGACATGGTAATGATGGACATTTGACCATATTTTGTGTATGTATTTGTATTGTTTTGACAGTGTAATCACAGGCACTGTTTGACCACAGGACAGCTGAGATCTTTGCCTTTTTCTGTTGTACAGTATTTGAACCAACAGAAACTTGGCGAAACTGCAGTGTCTGTCAGTTTATGATAGTATGCTCCTTTCTAAAAAGCCCAGTTAATGCCACATTACCTGTCACACTGCAAAAGCCCACCGTGTTTTTGTACATTACCATAACATTTTTCTGTACCCCATTGAGGCCAAGCCGAGCCATGGAGGAGAATGAAATTAGATTAGATCAGCACTGATGTCTTAGCCACCCAAGGCAGTTTCTATATATTGTAGCAAGGCTAAATGCTCTTTTAAAAACCACAGAGACGTATTCTACCTCTAATGGTAACTGGATCTGTTACAGAACCCCATTTAAGGCCGGCATACATCATCTTAATGTACAGGCTGCATCCTGAATCTATGACGTTATGTGCTGCACACTTCTCCTGCATCATTTCCATAACCGTGCACTCTGAATGCAGCCTTTTAATTGCTAAAAATTCTAAATGTCAAATTAAGCTCAAACTAATGAGGTAGAAGGTCTTGGCTGTGTGATCACTGAGAAAGAGGGAGGAAGAGAGAGAGAGAGAAAACCAACTACTGGTGCATTTAAAACAGGCAGTGCTCTCAGAAAACGGCTATGGATTACCAATCACTGCTTCCCACTACAGAAGATTAATGAGCACCCATGTAGCAGGCTAATTTAGAACAATAACGCCTAATTAATTACAAATAATCAGCTTCTTTCACTCCCTTCTCTTTCTTCCATTCTCAATGAATCATTTTCTTTCTTTTCCTCCTTTGCAAACCCTTATTTTTTCTTCCTTTTGACCTCTGGCTTTCTCATTTTCTTTGTTTCTCCCTCTTTCATACTCTGCCTCTGTCCAAATAGCCTCAGGTGAAAAAGCAGCAAAGCGGGTCTAGTTTCATCTCCCCCACTACCAACCCATCTTTGACTTTCTGTCCTCCAAACCCAGTGATTAATGCAGGGTCTTAAATTAGGCGTGGGAGGATTTGCCAATGCTGTACACGCACTCAGCACAGCTAGCAGACACACATTAATAGTATCTACCGCTAATCTATGACTGCTTACATGGATGGGCTCTTCCTCAAATGCCACTGAAGACCATTGTCATTATAGACTAGCGGTCTAGTCTACCTATATCAGATGGTAAGAAGACTGATAGTGGTTAATGGGCTGTGGACAGCTGCACATGAGAGAAGTTCTGAATATAACACACTTGCCTACAAATGGTTCCAATGGTTTGATGGAGTATTGAGTTAAAGAGCATTTTGGGAATATCTTGCCTCCATAATTTAATGTTTCCTATTTAATCTGGATGTTTGCTGAAAGGGTGAAACATGGAGCTCTGTTAAAGAGGAGGAGGCAGGTTTAGCACATGTGATGAGATGGCATTGGTTAGCATTGTTATGTTTGCTCAAATGTCAGAAACTCAGACTGGGTAGAAAACCTGAACAGTTAAATGATGAGACAGGTTTTACAGTAAGCAGTGCCTCAACTTATCCAAAGCCGTCAGAAACTCAGACTGGGTAGAAAACCCGAACTGTCAAATGATGAGACAGGTTTTACAGTAAACAGTGCCTCAACTTATCCAAAGCTATGTTGAGATCAGAGGAATGAAATTGTTACCCAGACTGTTCATTGTGAACAGCCATCACTGTTTACAAACTGCTTGCTTCAACCTACACTTCCTGTACTTGCCATAGTTGTGTGCACTTAGGATAAGCAGTGATATTATGAAACCTTGAAGTTTTAACAAATCAAGGGATTTTCTTTACCTGGCTGAATCGTTAGCTTGTTTCCCACCCGTCTGATGGCCTGACTGCTTTTCCTTGCCCTGTCAAATGTTGCCCTTTCCTCAGATCTGTTATAAAAGTTACAAAAATGGAAACCAAGTAGTCCAGTAACTGGGATTATTTTTTAACAAATCAAAGAACTGACTGGCGGCACCATAAACTAGCAGTGTTTTATACATGTTAATTGTGTTATTCTATGTTTGCAGGTAACCTTTGAGCAGCACAAGGAAAGTTTGTCGCACATGTTCCAACAGTACCAGCATCAGGAGTCTCTGAGCACAGTCCGAACTGTCTCTGGTGTCAGCCAAAGCTTGGAAACCATGGAAAGTGTTGATGGGCCACCTACAGAGGAGACGGCCCCTTCCACAGTTATTGAACTCACAGTAGACAAGCTGTCCCAGAAGTCCCCTGACTCACCATCTAGTTCCACCAACATGTCCAGCCCGCTGGATATTGCTGATGAAAGGAGACGCATGTCGATCACAGTGTCCAACATTCTTGCCCTTGCTGAAGCAGAAGACCAGGAGCTGGCTGAGGGGTCTTCCAGAGACGGCTCAGGCGTTGGAAAAGAAACTGAAGCCACTGTGACACAAAAAAATGATATAGAGGATCAGAGTGAAGAGATCAATAAGCAGGAAGCGGTGACTGAGATGTCTACTGACAAGGACAAGGATAATCAACAGGCTGAAACAGTGGTTAGAGATTCTGTTACAGTATCGGCAAACGTTGATGCACCAACGCCAACCGATGATGAAAAACACGAGAGTGACCACAACAAAGGTGAATCGTCAAGCTCTATGACAGAAGACTCATTAAAAGAAGCAGAGACAGAACTGCCAGTCATGTCAGAACAAGAAGATAATACTGACCACATGTCCCCTGAGACTGCAGCCTATCTGGAAAACAGTGTGCTGGGTGGTGCTTCTGTCCTCAATGAGGACCCAGTTGATGTGTCACCTGCTGGTGACCAGATCCATCCTAGTGATGCTGATGATGGCCAAGAGTCTTGTGTTTCTGCTGCTGCTGCTGAAGAAGAAGGGGTGGTATTTAAAAAGGAGGAAGATGAAGATGTGGAAGGCAAGAAAAAGGATCTGGAAGGACAGGAGTTAAAAATAGAAAAAGACGAGAAGCAGGAGATTAAAATACAAGAAAAAACTGAAGAAAGTGAAACTGAAGAGAAACACTTGTCTGGTTTGGAGAATCAGACATGTTTATCTGAAACATCTGAACAAAATGGGACAGACCCACCCACAGAACAAGTCAAAGGTGAACAGTCTTCCTCCATAACTGAAACCTGTACTGCAGACGAGCAACCTTTAGATGGCACACAACCTTCTACTGCCCAGAAGGCTGTGGTAGCATCAGACCCCACCTCACCTAGCCAGCCTTCAGAAACCAGCACCTCTGGAGAGGAAACCCTGTCCAGTGCCCCACATGGCAGCACTGACACCCAAAAGAGTGCAGACCCTGTCAACAAGAACAAAGAGGTCAAAATTGCCAGACTGGATGTGTCCAATGTTGCCTTCGACACAGAGAGACTTGAATTGAAGGAGACATGCACAGTATGCATCTTTTTATTTTGAATGTGTACTTTTGGCAAAGAATTGCATAGACTGCTTTCTCACTGACCCATCTCATATTAAAGCTAATCATGTGCTACTGGTGTCTTTCTGTAGGAAAGGAGGCCCAGCCAGCCAGCAGCAGCAGTAGCAGCAGGAAGTTCAGGTCAGCCAGGAGACAGCAGCATCTCTGCTTCTCGCTCCACCATGTTTCGCATCCCAGAGTTCCGCTGGTCCCACATGCACCAGCGTCTGCTCACTGACCTGCTCTTCTCTATTGAGACAGATGTCCAGATGTGGAGGAGGTAGGGGAACTGTCTGCTGACTCTAACTGTATTAATGCTTTAGATAATGATGATTTTGTTAATTGATTAATGGAATAAAGATTTATTGAGCTTCTGTGCTGAGGAGGAGGCAGAAGGAGGTGTTCTATTGTTCAAGGAGTGTGTGTCAATCTTTTGCTTTGTTTCACTGAAGATGATTTTTAACTCTAAAATCATGTTTTGTCTGTTAAAAAGTTCAAGAGTCTTGTGTTTCTGGATTTAGCATGTTGAGTAAATATGCAAAGAGAAATGCCTTAATTAAAGCTAAAGAAAGCTGGTGGCTAACAGTGATTGTATTGGTGTTCATTGTTTCATAAAGGATTACTCTACATGAAACCACAATTTAAGTCCCTGTTGATGCAGTCAAATTCATAGTTGAACACGTTTTATCAGACTTGATGAGGAAGACCATTGCATCAGAAAGGCTTCTGTAGGGATGGACCCTGTTTGACAGTGTTGTCTGTAAGGTTGCCAAAATCCTGCTCTTGTTTTATAATTGTTTAATGCCACTGTTGCAGAAGGCCATTCCTGTTTATAAGAGGTTATGATTTTTTGTTAACAAAGCCTTTTGTTTTGTTTTTTCTGCCTCTCAGTCACTCCACAAAGACTATCCTGGACTTTGTCAACAGCAGTGAAAATGTTGTGTTTGTCCACAACAGTATACATCTCATCTCCCAGGTGGTAGACAACCTCATCATGGCTTGTGGAGGCATTTTACCTCTGCTTTCTGCTGCCACCTCTACCTCTGTGAGTCCCCTTATGTGTTTGTGTGGTTTTGTGTGTCTACATTTGTCTGTGGCTGTATATGTAGCTGCTGGCTCCAGTCACAGGAAGTTATCCATCCACATTGACCTTTCTCAATCACATTAGACTACTGTTAGCTGCTTCCTAACATTGTTAGTTTGTTTTGTGTTGTCTGACCTCAGTGACTGTTGCTCTTTTACGTGATTCTTTGCTTCTGCCAAGGACCTGACCGGCGTGTCGAAGACATGGGTTGATGTTCAGCTCCATTATAATTCAATTACATACACTTGTGTGTTCTGTAACCAAATCTTAAATGTGAATGTGGAAAGATTATGATTATTTGTGTCAGTGGATAATGCATAAATCTTGGATGTGTTAGACAGTTTATATATAGTTATTACACAGTAGTTATTTAAAAGAAATATAGGAAAATATGTTCAGTCTTGGAACCCACATGAGTTTTAAACCACAAGTCAAATTAAAGTTTACCTTGTACATTACCATCACATTCTTTTTGTTGAAATAATCAATCATTCCCACACTTTGCTTAAAGACTTCTGCACACAGGATCATTTACAACATTAACCTGTGCTTAATCAGTAATGAAACAATCCTTTTTCAAAATTAGGAGGGTCTTTTATCTACTTCTATGGATACTTATTCATTTTATGTAATGTGCCTTCTCTCTTCTGCTACCAGCATGAACTGGAGAACATTGAGCCATCCCAAGGCTTGACAGTGGAGGCTTCAGTCACCTTCTTACAGCGCCTCATCAACCTTGTGGATGTTCTCATGTTTGCGAGTTCCCTCAACTTCACCGAGATAGAAGCAGAGAAAAACATGACTTCAGGAGGCATCCTTCGACAGTGCCTTCGCCTTGGTACGCAGACTGCTGTTTGTGTTTTTCCACATCACTTGGTGTCTCTCTTTTTATTTTAATAGACACATTACTCCTGAAAGTGCTAATTTGATTTCTTGTCTCATGCATTCCTTCCCTCCTCTGTTGTGTTCTTTTATTTCTACAACCTTTCAGAGCTTTCAGATGTGTAGGTGTCTTTTTATTAACTGAATTTCCAATTGTAGCTTCTTGTATTGGCCCCACTTGTGGCTCCTGTAGCTTTTTTGACCCTCTCGTCTATACTTTCTCTTGTCTGCTTTAGTCGTCTCCTTTTCCCCTTTGCTGCTCTCATCCCCTCGCTTCTTTCATTCTGCTCGTATCAGCGCTCTCTTATCTTGTTATTATAACCCCACTGAATGGCAACGCACTCAAATGGCTGCTATCATGATGTAGCGAGTTCTCCATAATGGCCTTGGCTGCACTGTAATGCATCGTAGCCCGAGGACTTTTTCTGCCTTCTCTTCAAGGCTGTTAGTTTCCTCAGATGCGTAAAAGATATTGAAATTGTTACATTATTGATTTTACATGGTACACCTTTTCAGCAGACAGAGCCACACAGTATACACTCACTCACTCTGGAAGTACTCTTTACACCGATTTAAATAATTTCTTCATGCTTTGTTCCATATATGTAATGGTGCTTTTCCTTTTAGATGCTCATTATAGTGAAGGCTCCAAACCAAAATGTCACAATGCACACTTGTTTTACAAAGAGCACTTCTCAAAGATATTATCTAACTCTCATGCAGGAAAGTGATGCCACTCTACTACAGGTCCAGTTTTAGAAAGCAGCCGTTATGAAATGAATATTTGATGAGGTTTGCTCTCCCTATTGCTGGCACCTAATCTGATTTGGGGAGACTGTAACAAGGTTTTAGCGTCTCAACCCCTCCTTTCCCTCCTCCCTCTTTATAAATGGTCGTATGAAAGAGTAGGCCTAATGGAAAAAGCGAGCCCATTTCCAGATGGAATAATTCCTCCCTTCATAATCTAAATGGCTCCGAGTTAACATTTGTCAGTTGTCAAGTACAGAACAGTGGCGGTTAGGGAGGGGTTCCCACAGACAGCAGTACATTAGATTGCAAATGGTAAGTGTGCCATCTCTGAGCCCACCTAAAGTTGTCAGAACACAAGATATTTTTTGCGACGAAGGACATAGCTTGCTGCTTACTCAGCATGTGCACACCCTAGCAGTGTCATCTGTTATGGGAGTTGCACACATTGGATGTGATTCAAGAGCACACCCTTGCACTGTGACCTTGGGAGGAGAGGTGGAGCAGGGAAGAGTGAGTGATGCTGCCAGAGTTGGCCGGAGCACTGACCTTGTCTTGGCCCCACTTTTCTCCGTTGTTTTTTGTCTCTCTCAGCTGCTCCTCCTGTGGTTTTCTCAATTTATGAGCTGGGGTTTCACTCAGGTTTCTGTTTTGTCTGCATTTACTGTGTGTATGAACATTTTCTGGAACTTTGAGCATATTTCTACAAATTTTTTGCTATTTATATGTTGTCACAATATTTCTTTCCATCTCTTCCAGTGTGTGCAATGGCAGTAAGAAACTGTCTGGAGTGTCAGCAAGCTCAAATTAAGCAGGGGACAGATGGCTCAGCACTCAGCTACACAGCCATGCCTAGCCTTGGAACAGCTATGTCTGCAGCTGCGCAGGTAATCCAGATCATTTCCTCACTTCATTACCTTATAAACTTCCTTAAAATTCAACATCATAAATCTCAATGATCCACCCCTCACTCTTATACTTGCCCTGGAACTGGTCATCCTTTAGGTTTTTACACTTGAGACCAGCTACATCTTCCTTTTGCCTTTTTCCCCTATTTAGTAGTAAACAACAGGGAGCCTTGTCCTTTCTCTGCTCAAAACAACAACAAAGTGTCAATGCATTAGCTCATATCTTATTATATTACCACACTGGGTGCTGTTTGTTACTCTAGACAAGGCCTTTGTCATTGTGCCTTTGATTTGATACAGTTACTTCCAGTAAAGCCATGTTGTTCTTCCCTGAACTGGGTGTTAAAGCTCATTTATAATGCAGTGGCTCTATAGAAAAGCCATTATGTTAAGGACATGATCCCAGGAGGGACAGCTTCCCTGAGCTGTAAAACCTTACCCTACTCCATGAAGTGCACATGGATTAATAAAGATCCTGGCTGGTGTAAAAGTGAATGTGGATTTTTCCACTTCACTTGTAGACAGTAAATGTGGTAATCGTTTGATTGTCCTGCATGCATACAGAGCCCTGTTGATGCAGTGACAGGTGGAATGTCTCCAGTGAGAGACTTGGACCGACTGCTTCAGGACATGGACATTAACCGCCTGCGGGCTGTAGTCTTCAGAGATATTGTGAGTTGTAAAGCAATCACATTCATGTATGATACACTCATAACGGAGCATGCACAAGGCCCATGAAATTGAACTATCGCTGCTTTCTGAAAAAGACACGCACAGTTCGTTTTAGTGTATTTTGTTTGTTTCAGGAGGACAGTAAGCAGGCTCAGTTTCTGGCTCTTGCTGTGGTTTACTTCATCTCCGTCCTCATGGTGTCCAAGTACCGCGACATCCTGGAGCCCCACAATGACAAGAAACACCCTCAGCGATCCCAGTCTGCCAGAAGCACAGGTACACAGCAGCTCAAAGAAAAAGATTTAATCTCAAATGATTATCTAATGCTGTAGGAAAATAAAAATCATAGGCTGTAATGCAGTGGTTTACAGCATGTTTTTACTTGTGACCCCATGTTAGATTTTATTGAAAACTGATTATCTCTCTTTAGATGTAGACTTAAGTAAATATTTTATAGTGTGGTAAAGCTATCCAGGGTATGGAAATATATGAAAATGAAAAAGACAAAAATTAGAAAACAGTCTTAATAAACATAATTTAGCCTTCCCCCATTTTGCTAGACTGTTAGTCTTGCAACCTTTTATGTCCCAGCTCCAGGGTTGGGAACCACTGTTGTAATTAATCTCTCATATTATGTTGACTGTATACTTGGCATCACTTGATATTGAATTTTTTTTATATTTCTTTAGTCTTATTTTATGCTTATTTTTTGTAGTTTACACTTTTATACATTTCTTTATTTTGGTATGCTGTGATTTTTTTGTAGCTGTTGCTACTGGATACCTGAATCTCCCTTGTATCAATGAAGTATCTAGCCGTCTGTCTACCTATCCATCTATGTGGTGTGGCTTTATTGCTTATATTTCTTCATTATTATTTGTGCTTCCATAGATAGCGGCGCTATTTCCAGTGTATTGGAGGTGGAGAACGGTGTCTCTCTGCGACGGTATGACTCCGGCCTCGGTGATGACCACACTTCAGCCACTGCAAGCGAAGCGGACCTGTCATCCTCCGCTGTGACTCACGGTCCAGACGCCATCTCAGAGGCCTTGTCTACGCTGTCATCTGAGGTCAGGCCTGCTCTGCCCACTGATTCAAAGGGCAAGAATGTAAAGGACATTTTGCGGAGTCTGGTGAGCAGTTCGGGTGATGATATCATGGTGGACCCAAGTCTGCTGCCACCGGCGTTTCTAGGAGGTCTGGGTGATGCAGCCACACAATCATCACTACAGTTCCACTCATTTGATAGGTGAGAGCTCAAGTTCAAACATGGTTTGACATGCACATACTCCTCTGTTATTTATAGAAAATGCCATTTTTCCCTCTGCACATTGGGGAATGTGAAAAGAAATCTGGATGGAAATTGCTAACATGGGTGCAGACCTGACAGTTAAATCAGTTTCTCTAGAGCCCATATGGTGTATACTCTTGTGATTCTCAGGCTTCACCGTTGACAGATTCGTACCATTTATCCCAACATAACTGCAGGGGACTTTTGAAAGTCAGACCTTGAAGACATCTAAGCTCGGTATCCTCAGAGGAGGCTTTGGTGGATCTTGAAAAACATTCTGTAACAAAAAACCTTTTGAAGCGGGGGATCTTAGTCTCCACCTCTTTCCATCCTACTCCCACTGTTCTTTCTTTAGCTGTCGATGCAGGTCCTTATCCTGGGCAAACCTCCTTGCAAAGAACTTGTCTTTAGGAAAACAGGAGTCATGTCTGGGATGAAGAGACAGTGAGATGAACCTAGCAGGAAACGGTTTCTTTTCATCGTGTCACTGATATTTAACAACTTTGTTCATCGCTCTTGCTGCTTGTCTCTCTCCAACATTCAGAGTGGTATCCCCTGTTTTCTGGTATAAAAGCTGTATAATTTGTATAACCCCCGGAGGTGTTGAGGAGTAAGCAGTCAGAAGTAAGACTTCAAAAGCGGAGTGGGATACTGAACCCACAGACGGGCCCAGGTGAGAGATAATGGTCACCAGTCTGGTTTGCATTTGAAGCATTGATTCTGAGACAGACATTCACCACTGGCAAATAGTAGGTGGGGGAGGGGTAAAAAGGGAGAGAGAGATGGGAGAAAGGGAAGAAAGATGTCTCCATGGAGGTGATGTCAAGTCAAGCTTTTAATGTACTGAAGAAAACATTTCTCTCTCACAAACTCACACACTCACAGTCTGCCTACCCCCGACTATGGGAATTCCATGGCATCTCTGTGATCGTGTGTCTTTATCTGAGGAATGCTTTGTCAGGTCTCAGGGCACTCCTCATATCTGGTGGATTAGACTGGCTCCTGTCCGCTGAGCACACTCAGTAGGAAGAGACGACGTCAGGAGAGCTGGAGAGCATAGATTAACAGCTCGCTCACTGCCTATGGGAGCCTCTTCATGCAAAGTATTACTGCCCAAGCACAGACAGCAGAGCTGCTCCTTGGTTGTTCACACATGAGCACGTTGTAGGGTGGCAGGTCATGGGCTTTTTCATGATCAATTAAAGGACAAGGCTGGCATTATTCTATATTTTTGTTAATAAATCCCATGGGGAAAAACCTCACCAAAACACCAGTGTTTCTGAAGGTCAGTGTGTACAGATGAATAACAGTAAAACAGGCTTTGGCTGCAGAGACAAAGCTTGTTAGTGGAATCAATTCATTAATTTTGGTTTTGTCATGTGATTTTAATGGCGATATGATTATATAGAATATTTCTGGCCTCATCCTTTTTTCTAGTTTTTATGACAGTATAAACATTGTGAAAAATTCTGAATCTCCCAGAGCCTATGCATTGAAGCTCAAAGCACTTGACACTATTTACTATTCACCCATTAGCTCACACGTACATTCAGTCGCTCACACGCTGATGTTGTCTTTTGTTTGAAGCATCCAAAAGTAATTTTGATGTCTATTGGTCAAACCTTCCCTATTATACATGTCATTCACTGACTTTAAGCCTGTTTGTTCCCCTATCTCCTCAGTTCACCACTCTTTATCATTCTGCCATCTCTAGTCCTTACCAGTTCTTACCACTTCTACCTACCATGCATGAAATGGTCTATCAGTGTTTATCTTGTTTTAATGACATTATCACTGCTCAGCATCTCCCACTAACCACTAAGTCTCCCAGTGACAACAGTACAAACCAGAGCTGACATTCTACACTGACATCTCCTGCCAAAACATGGCAACTTTCCGCTTGCCCAGAGGAATGGATTTACGAGACCAGTGCATGGAAAAAAGCAGGGATCTCCCAGATAAAAACTGGGTCTGGGTCACAGGGTGAAGTATCCCATCTGATTTATTTACAAGTGGAGACCTGCTGGATTTCTCCCATCCATTTCTCAGCCATGCCTCTGTTATGACAGCTAGTCTGCAAATATTTGCTGACA